CAAAGCTATCTCTGCTGTCCAAAAATCTTATTTACAGCTTTCATTGCATATACTCTTGTTTATTTCCAGTTTGTGGCACATATTGTAGCGCAGTCTAATAAAACTGATCTTGCTTCATCAGCCTCAAGTCCCTGTAGATTTTCATGTATCGTGTGATTAATTGCTAGTTTCCTGTAGACTTCTTACTCTTTTCAATTTTTTTTATTTCTTTAGCAGAAAGAGCTAAGATAAAAATAGTGAACCAGGTAAAAATAATGATAATAAAAAAACCTGTACTTGGAATCATATTCTTCTCTAGATACCTCTGTCTTTAACTACCAAAGATTTATCAGTTGAAAGATGTATAGGACTCATGGAAGTTTGATAAACCCACTAAGTCTGCTGAGATACCAAATTAGCACTTAAAAGATATGCATATCCAAGGTGTGTGTGTTGAAAGTATTTTTTTGTTTACTGACAACTCATGTATTTACTTGTCTAGTAGTATTTTATTATCTTTAATATTCACTGGGAGATCACAAAGACTTGTAGCTTATAAATGAGAATTTTTCAAGTATCGGTGCAGCAACTCAGAAATACGTTGCCTAATCATTTGGTAATCCAATGCCTAATGTATACATTAATGGAGCTTTGTGACAAATCACCTGTTAGATTTCACCTGACAGCTTGTCGTATAGTAATTATAAATAATTGTAATATACGGCTATCATAATGCCTGCAACAAAAAATGGGGAAGGTAATTACAGAGTATCCTCTGTGCCCCCCTTTGCTCTTCTCCTGAAGTGACCCAGTGTTCCACTTTGATTGAGACGGTTCCAACTGTTAATGGAACATCCCACTGTCCTAAAGAGTTTAGTGGGGATGTCTATTTGTCACCATTGCATGCCACAGTCTCAGACACAAGAGCCAAGGGGAAAATAACAGTGTGTAGTATTAATTTATAATATAATACAGTACTATTTAATGTTTGAACTGCATGAGACTGCAACATGAAAACATTAAGGACTTGTCCTGCATGTCTTACTCAGGCAAAACTCTAGCAGAAGTCAGTGGGAGTTTTGTCCTGAGTAGAAAATGTAGAATCAGGCCCTAAATGGTGGCAGCCAAGAGGAAAGCTCTCTCTCTCTCCCCCCTTACTCATGTGAGGTGTCAGTGAAGACAATGGGACTACTTGTGTGGTTTAGGTGAGCAGAATTTAAACTGTTATTTTTTAACAATGGAAGAAGTGTATGTGTGTTTATATATGTGTATAGATATTTTTAACGATCCAAACAGAAGCAAGAGATACGCCCCACACTAAAAAGTTTGTGTATAGATTCATATCCTGAGTACTTAACTTAATTCAGTATCTTTGTACCTGGTAGTACAGCACTTTCAGTTTGTTCGATATTTGTATAAGAAATATTTCAAAGTTAATATATTTTTGAAATAGTCTTACAATTCAGTATTATGCTAGCATTACAGTTATGTATTATCACAATCTTGGCAATAAACTGCACAAACAAAAACTAGTAGAACATTGTACTTGAACTTCTTAATATATTTTGTAAAGAATATTATTCCCACATTGTGTTAACTTGTGATATTTTGAGTTATGCATCCTGAAAGCTAAAACTTTTGGGAGCAATAATATATCAATGAAATAGAAACAACCGGTTTAACATTACAGCAGAAATATATACACACACATATATGTATGTATATTTCTGCTATCATTATTGTTGCTGATGATAACAAAGCAGGTGCTGATTCATCCTTGGGCAACAGTAGACAGAGTTTTTCATACTGTTTCACTGCACTCAGCATCATTTCTCCCTCTGATCTTTACATATACATCCAGCATTATTGCATAAATCAGAAATTTGATAAATTGAATTCACTAGGTAGGCCTGGCTTTAGTGGTTTATATAGAAGGAAGCAGATTTATTTCTTATTCATACCACAGTGCTGACAAGAAGAACAGAGGGAGGAGTTATATCAAGATGATTATAACTGCAAATTGTGTGGAAAAAGTTAAATATGGTCTCAAAACTCAGATCTAAATTGTGGTGGTGGTGTCAGAATTTGTAGGGGACTTGGGATTACTGACCAATTCTTCTGTGTCATTCTAGGATCTTAGCATGAAGAGTATTGAAGCAAATGGTGAAAACTGTCAGGACACTTGATCATTATATTAAAACCTGGCATATCTATTTTAGGGTGACCAGATGTCCTGATTTTATAGGGACAGTCCTGATATTTGGGGCTTTTTCTTATGTAGGCATCTATTACCCCCCACACTCTGTCCCAATTTTTCATACTTGCTATCTGATCACCCTAATCTATTTAGTTATTTCAAAGCAAGCATAGAGTCTTGGGGTCAATGGGGGCTGGGTTGTGATGGGGTTTTAATTTTTGTTTGCATTCCGTAACTATATGTGTGTGCGTGTGTGTGTGTATAAAATATAAAATCCACTCAACTTTTTATTATTCATAGAATCATAGAATCATAGAATATCAGAGTTGGAAGGGACCTCAAGAGGTCATCTAGTCCAACCCCCTGCTCAAAGCAGGACCAATTCCCAGCTAAATCATCCCAGCCAGGGCTTTGTCAAGCCGGGCCTTAAAAAACCTCCAAGGAAGGAGACTCCACCACCTCCCTAGGTAACGCATTCCAG